TCCCACTCAGGCCTTGAATGGCTTGCTCTGAGGCAACTGAATGAATGCAATCTCAATATCCCAAGTTTGCAAGTTTAAAAGTCTGCTTTTCTCTCTCTCTTTAATCTCTTGGTTCCATTCTATTCCATTCTATTTTGGAATATGTTGGAATTCTAATTACATTCTGTTTAATTCTGGTTTTGTTTTATTTAATTTCTCTTTTATTTACTGTTGCAGCCTTCTCAGACTCTGAGAGTTTCGATTATTGTTTTGTGAGCTGTTTATGGATTTGGCAGGGATAATTTTAAAAAATGCAAAACATTCTGACCACAATTAATGGGCTGGGGAAGTTTTGCATCACTCTTTAGGGCTAAATATTTTGTGTATAATTAGATCCATGTAGCTGAAATAAGATTAGCGTCACTATGACCATAGAAGGCTGACCTAGATACTTTTATGGAATTAATGTCAAACAGATGAATAAGACATAGATCCAAACTTATGGAATTTAAGTGATTAATAGATGCGCAAATTGGTTTCCCTTGACTCTTCAACACTTCCCTATATATTTTTGTCCATATTATATGCTTACTGAATGTGAAAGGAGCAATGATTAGTTTTTTTCTTCCAGAGAAATAAACTATTAGGTTATTAGTTGTGGACTTAAATTTTGTTTGGAAAAATGTAATATGCAGCAGCAATTTCAAACCTAGCTATAATTCCAAATGGTTTTTAAAATATATTAGAACATTGCCAGTGTATTTCTTTGTCATTATTTTTGTATCGCTGGAACAAAGTATTATATGCTTAAATAAGTTGGTTTGACACTGCTTAAATGTTGTTCCAGCATATGGAATATATACCTTGGGTGTTGAGAATGAACAACGTATAAATATTTTTTTGGAAAATCAACTTTCTGAATTATTTAAAATCTTGAGCAAATGACATTTTTGCAAATTGCCTCCAGTGCCTATTCGCAACATATTAATCACCTACCTAGCAGACAATTCTTTTGTAACCTTTCTGTTGGGAGACCAAAGGCTACTGAGATGCTGTTTTTCAGACAGAAAATCATGATAAAGTGGAGAATAACCTAGCCTCATACATCAGCCAGAGAAAGAAATTAGGGTGTGTATTTCCTTTCTAACCTAAAGAATCCATGAAGTTTAAAATTAGTGCCTTGGGATATCCAAGGGAGAACAACTAGATTCTGTAATAGCTTTGTACCATATAGTATCAACCTTAACTCTCTAGATTCTTTTTTCCACTATGTATTCAAAATGGACTGTGATTAATATATAGATCTCTCTCTCTCTCTCTCTCTCTCTCTCTCTCTCTCTCTCTGTGTGTGTGTGTGTGTGTGTGTGTGTGTGTGTGTGTGTGTGTGTGTGTGTGTGTGTGTGTGTGTACAATATGTGTGTATGTATAGGTATGGGAATATTTTTTTCTTTTGAGAGCAGGCATTAGAATTTCATTTTAGAGTGTGCCATTGTGTACACAGAAAAGCGAAAATAAAGATTCTTATTTTTTTCCTTCTTCCAATTCATTTTTCTTTTGTGTTATGCCTTTTAGATTGTAATAGCAAGAACATGTGACTTTTTGGATGAACACTGTAAAATGCTTTAAACATAATGTTCCCTTCCTGGCATGATTTATTTAAATGATTAAAGATTTGGGGATTATAGAATACTTTTACCCGTCCAGCCTGCTTGCTCTTTATGAGAGGTACATAACTGATTCCCAGTCAGTTTAGTAGATTTAAAGGAGTGACTCTTTTCTACAGGAACCCTTCAATTATGAAATGGGTTACCAACTCAACTCTATCATATTCCATCACGACACCCCCAAAAAAACATTTTTGATAGGATCAGCTTTTCTAAAAAATGTTTTTAATGTAGGAATCATAGCATATTGGCAATACAGTACATATTACTTCAGTGCCCTGTGCATAAAGTATTTTTCTGTAAATAATTTATTGTTGTTCCCCACCATGCTAAACTACTGTAGTATGGGTGCTTAAACCAATGTACGTGGTTAATTTTCTGTAACTTCATCATTGGTATGTCCTCCTTACAGAACTGCCTCTACTGTTTTATAGCGTTGGTTACTTTCCCACAACAGCTATGGTGGAAATTAGAAAGTCTCCATTAAAGTGTGTGTGTGTGTGTGTATTATGTTGTATAACATCTGAGCTTTAAGATCTAATGAGTAAATGCTTGATTAGTCAATAGCCAAGACTGATGCGTGAATGAATGAATGAATATATGTGTGGGATTTTCAACAGTCACAGAAACATATGTAGAGCCGAGGTGGCGCAGTGGTTAAATGCAGCACTGCAGGCTACTTCAGCTGACTGCAGTTCTGCAGTTCGGCTGTTCAAATCTCACCGGCTCAGGGTTGACTCAGCCTTTCATCCTTCCGAGGTGGGTAAAATGAGGACCCGGATTGTTGTTGGGGGCAATATGCTGACTCTGTAAACCGCTTAAAGAGGGCTGAAAGCCCTATGAAGCGGTATATAAGTCTAACTGCTATTGCGTCCAGAACGCGGCTGCGCGAGTGATCGTGGGTGCACCTCGGTTCACCCACATAACACCTATCCTCCGCGAGCTGCGCTGGCTACCTGTCGATCTCCGGGTGCGCTTCAAGGTGCTACTAGTCACCCATAAAGCCCTCCATGGTAGTGGATCTGCATACTTGAGAGACCGCCTTCTGCCAATTACCTCCCTGCGACCAATTAGATCTCATAGACTGGGCCTCCTCCGAGTTCCATCTGCAAGCCAGTGCCGGCTGGCAACTACAAGGAGGAGAGCCTTTTCAGTTGTAGCTCCGACCCTTTGGAACGATCTCCCCGTGGAGATTCGTACTCTCACCACCGTCCAGGCCTTCCGCATAGCCCTTAAAACCTGGCTAGCCCGTCAGGCCTGGGGACAAAGATAATTGCCCCTCCCGAATGATGAATGAATGTTGCTCATTATTTTATTTTACTTTATGTTTGTCTACGTGATTGTTTGTATTTCCCCCCCCCCCTTGATTTTATGTAAGCCGCCCTGAGTCCCCTCAGGGAAAAGGGCGGCCTATAAATGTTAATAAACCTCTATTAAACCTCTATTATTGCTATATGCAAACATTTTGTCACCATTATCTGTAGTACTTTGTCCAGTTGTTCTTGCTTTCAGTTGTCTTTATGACATAAGCAAACTTCCACAGCACCTGGTAGCCTTGAATATCTTGCAACCAGAATCCAAACAGGATTAACATTGATTGGAATAAAGTGGAGCCCGTAAAATATATTTATCATTGTGGAAATCAAGAAAACTAAAATGGCTTTTTCAACCAGATTCCAGCAGATATTCTGTATGGGAAAATATAAAATATTTCTTATCTTCCAGAGAACACCCCCCAGGGGTATTGAACACAGAAAAATTGGGAAGAGATGTATAGCAATAAATAAATGAATAATTGCTTTGTTTGCTGTATTTAAACTCTGGGTTTGTGCTTTATTGTTGTACACGATTTTCCATCTGAGAATGATCAAAGTAAGTGACACCACGAGACACCTGCTGCCATTTTTGTAAGCAATAATAAACTGTGATTCCAAATAAGCGCAATCAGTTTCAGCAGTTGAAATACATTTGGTTTATTTCTTTTGTATTTTTTTTTACATATACATATATCATATACATATGTGAAGTCCTTCACTGGTTTGTTCATTGTCAGAAACATAAAAATCCATTGAGAAGACTTTAGGCTTTGTTGTGCCAAAACAACATTATGCCAACTTATTAAAAAGAAAGATAGTAATTATTATGAATATGAACATACACAAAAGGGGATGAGAAGAGAGTATAGTATCTCACAGCTTTTCTAGCAAATTGTCCACAGACTGTAGAGGGTTAACTCTAGCAATGATAAAACAGAAAAATGTATTTACTGTATGTACATCAGAAAATAAAAACAAATGTAAACTTAATCTCAAAATTATTATTTCAATGATATATAAAAACAATATCCACATAAGTGAGAGTCCTTCTTCCATATAGTGAAGGAGCTCTCTAAGTGCCTTCATTTAATGTGAAATTGCCTTTGCAGTACCTGAAAAAAAGGGAAGAATGTATTCAAGGGAAATTCTGTGATAGTGACAGGGCAGCCTATCCCAACCTGATGCCCTTCAGACTGGACTGTGTATTTTCCTGTAGTCCAAAAACAGGAGTGTACTGTATGAAAAGGTTTTTAGATCCTTTGGCTAATTGTATGATGAAAGGAGGTTTTGATTTGCCTCTTTATGTTCCTATGGGGAGTGATTAAGATTCTTAGGCAAGGTCCTTCCTTTTCCCCCCAGATGCTCATTTCTGGCTTTTGCTCGGCAGAACATAATCCGCTCTGTATTTCAGAAAAGTCTGGTCAACAGTTCAACTGCCCAGTGGATAGTTATGGAATATCAATATTTACGGGAACAGTAGCCTATAGGTCAGCTGATGGAAACTTGGTTAATTTATTTTTGAGTTTTGGTTTGCTAAAGGCTCCACTTGAGGGAATCAAAATAAGCATAAGCTACAGTCTGAGGGCAATTGTTGCTTGGGTTTTTACATAGGGACATAGAGAGGCAATTACTTATGGAAAGAATTTAAAGATATGTTTTGAGCAAGGAATTTCAACCAATATTTTGTTACCTCCCTCTAATAATTATCTTGAATTATGTCTCTGTTCAACTTCTATTTCCCAGAAATATCACATTATATAAACTCGTACCAATGCAGTAAGGACAAATCATTTTGATGGCAGTAACTGCGTGTGAAATTGTTAAAGGCTTCAGCTTCAAGTATGGTATACCAATTGTTGCTAACAGTGAGAGGAATGGAAACTCAGTCATTCAAATCACAGGCAGGGGATCAACTGGCTGACCAGAATCCTTCTTCACCCTTGCCACAATGAACTTTTTTTATATACTATATGTTGCTTTTTAACCACATGATGCAAAGAGGCCAAGTTTGAAGAACACTGATTTAGGACCACCCATCTCATTGCTTCTTTTATAAGATATGCCTTACTTTCCTTGTTTGAGCATCAAAAAGCCACTGGGGGTAAGCAACCCCTCTCCCTTTTTTCAATGTACCATCTCTCAATGTGGGAAATATTGAAGTGATATCTCTTCCATTTTAATTATATTGAACAGGTCTCAGAAAAATCAACATTATAAAAACAGAGGATATTTTCCTTGCACTTAAAATCTTGACCAATCTTCCAGGCCGATATGAGGTAAATAAAATGAGATACCTTTTCTGAGATTCTGTTCTATAGTGAAGCTTTCAAAAGACTTGGACTTTCAAGAAATAGAACAACTTGCATCTGCATCTGGCCTAGTACAGGCCTGTTCTTTAATTCCAGCAAAAAAATAAAGTGCTACAGATGTAAAGAAGCAAAAATACAGCACACATGCCCTGCTAATTCTCTTTTACACTTTCAGGGAAATGGGGTAAACTAGAGCACTCCTACATTGATCTGATAGATTTATATGTTCTATCTCTGCTAGCATGTTCTACTTCTGCTGGTTTGTTACCAAGTAAAGCTTCTTTAAGCTCTTAAGAAGAACGATATCATATATAATATTATATACATATACATATACATATACATATACATATACATATATATGTATACAGTATATATATATATACTGTACACAATCGGATTTTACACAGAACTGTACCACAGGTGATTATGTATATAATCATAGAAGAATGGTGCAGAGAGACTACCTAGAAGCAAATCTAATTTGTTAAAAATGACAGGTACAAACTGAGCCGCAGAGCTGCTGCAAATGTCAGCCATGATACTTCTTCAAGTGATACAAATGATAGAAAACAAATATGCAAGATTCTAAAATTCTGCAGAAGACATGGAGTGGAAAAGATGATGCAGAATTCTGCTGAACAAAGATGGCAACTATATTTTCAGTCACTTCAAGACAGAAAGATAAGCTAAGCACAGCAAAACTTTAAATGTAAGCCACAACTATTACTGAGGCCAGCTCATCTGGAACCAGTGGAAGAAGCCACATTATCTCTTCTGTGTCTCCTCATCAGAAAACAATCAAATATGAGTTCCATCTTTGCTAAGATTGAAACAAATTAGTTTTTATCCACATTATACCTCTGCAGTAATAACAAATAATCTGTTAAGACACACATATATGCTAATTACATTCAAATATACTTGTTGAGTTTCACTTCTAATTTAATTTTAGATGAGGCTTCACAACTGATCCCAATTTTTGATCTGGCCTTGTTCAGGTTTCTGGGATTGCCATTCCTATCATCTCCAGCCAATGTGTGTGAGTGTCTTGCTGGTTTGGAGATAATAGAAATTGCTATTTAAAGAAAATGTTGCATTGCTGTATCAATACAAGCCAGAGATGAGCAAGAGGTTTTCAATGGATTCAGAAATAGTTTGGGCTCAGTGAATTAATGTTGTAAATCTCTGCCAAGGTCTGAACTAGAAAATTCCCTCACATGGTCACAATATGTTTTCCAAATGTGCTCCCTCAGATTTCAAGGAATTCTTTTCATTTCAAGCTTTGTAATCTTGAAAACCTTTTAGCTGGAAGATACTGAGAACTGAATATAATCCACTTTCCATGCAAGACATATGGCTTATCACTCAGCTCTAGGTAGTCTACATGGTAGACTTGATCCAATCTTTCAAAACTGCGTAGTGGAATAGCAGACCAATCTCCTCACAAGCCTTTTCCGAATTTCCTAGGAAGAGCCTATTGGGGAACCAACAATTTTTTGATTTCAGAAACCATGATTGCCCATGATAAGTCACATACTTAATGTTAAATATTGGTAGTAAGGAAAAACAATAGTCTCTAATAAATTAACAGTTCAAACTTCCTAAAGCTTATAAATACAATTTCCAGAAATTCCGATCAGCTCAGCCAAAACTATAATATTTTCAATCACAACAACTGCATAGCACATAACAGAAATTTACTTAAAATAGATGATATGTATTACTAGTGCAAGATGAATTTTAATTTCAATATTGCCAAATCATTCAAATTCTCCCATTATAGGTTAATAGATATAAGCAGCAGGATCTCTATCTTGCTTCTAAAAAAATACACATCTATAATTTTGAAAAGTCAGTAGCCAATGTCAAAATTATTTTTTTTCAATTGGGAAAAATTAAAAATTAACTATTTGTGTCATAGTCTTAGCCTAATTTTCTAGGTGATATCTCCAAAAGATTTCCCCTCCCCAAATCATCTTTCTCATTGCATACAGATAATTTTATTCTGTTCACCTTAATGCAAACTCAAAATGAAAAGCAGAATTCAAACTCTAACAATTCTTAATGGTCAAACATACCCAGAACGGTCAAAATATTTAAAATATTTTTCTAGCAATCCTCCCAACACTTTGGACATATAATATATGCAGATGGAGACCTAAGACTGAAAGATGAGGCTTAATTCGAAACACAAAGATTCAGAACACAGTTAAAATTTGCCACTGTATCTGTTAATTTCTTGAAATTCCAGTACAGTGCTATTAGAAGTTATACTTTAAAAGTTTGAATATGCTGAGATAAAGCAAACTTTTAAACAGAATTTAAACTAAAGTGCTGATTTTTCAGACTTCTCAATCTGTTACAGAGTGTGAATGCATTGCAGCTTTGCAGATAATAGAACAGGGAACATATTGTACAGCTGAAAATTAAATGGAATTAATGTACCATCCAGAGATTCCCCTTGAAAAGAACGTCTAATCTGGCTCAAAACAGGTCCCAAATAATAAACATGGCAAGATACCGCTGTATAGGAAAAATGACAGGCAATTGCAACCAATTGGGGACGATCTGTTAAAGTAAGAACTTACTTGTTTTTTTCCTTCAAAATGCATTCGACTCGGTGCAATATATAGTACCATTTTGAAAATCTCAGCCTGGCCAAATGTAATTTAGTGATGCACCCGTCCAAGGACTTTAAAAAGTTGCAATAATAACTGTATAGACTGGTTATCAATGACTGAAGAGTTCAGCTCGGAGGTTTGTAACCAGGAAAGGAAATCTATGTCTGTTGGTTCTAGAGGCCACAGTGCTGCACTGTCTTATGGAATGCAGTTGTTGGAGTGACAACAGAATTGGTGGTCAAAACCGAAGAGCAAGACTTAGAAATAAAGACATTGTACAACTGGCAAGGGCACAGTGGGAGACCGAGGGGGCCAACGTTGTTCTGGAAAGCTGTTCTTGCTGCTTCCAGACACAGCAATAGTTTAAATATCAAGGGATTTAGCCTGCAAGCCTATTCCTGTGGGTGTTGTAATTGCTGATATGAGCTGCAAGATTTCACGAGCAATTTTTAGATCATGTACAATTATTCATACTTACCCACCCAAGTTTCAAAACCCCTGGGACTGAAAAAGTCATCCCTAGGGATGTTAAAAAGAAAAAAAAGCTATAAGGTTGTAGGAGATTTGGCTCTTTTGCCACAAGCTTCAACAGAAACGTGAAGCAACATTAGGAAAACCTTTGACATATAAAAATATAACCAGAGACCAGTGAATATACGTACTTCTATAGAAGCTTCTTGCCATGGACCCTGACAACCATGGCACGACCATAAGGATTATACACACAATTTAAATGCCAATGTGCCAATTCTTACAGAAAACAATGCTTGCAAACAGCAAAAGAGAAATATAGCACAAAGTTACTGTAAGTACCTAGTCCCAATCCAATGCCAGCCAAAACCTTTTAATAGCAAAAAACCTAAGTGTAATAGTACCTATCAATATACATGTTTCACAAAAGCATAGGCAACTATTTTGATGCATGCTCTTGTCTACCTGTAGATGTGCACATCCACATCAGCAATGCACCCATATCTCCCATGCAAGGTAAGTGTAACTAACCTTAATTTTCAAGTGAGCAGAAAAAAGAAACCCTTATATATAAAAGCTGATTAATAACATGGTTATATAGGAGAAGCTTAAGCATCAATGGCTGCAGTCAACACTTCAATAAAAATGCAGCTTCATGTTTACCCCAGGTAGTGTGATCTCTGATGCTCTGCTATATAAGTAAATGTGAAGTAAAAGCAGACTTATTCCTCTGAGAAAAACTATGGAGCTACCTACTAAGGTTGTAATGAAGCCAAAGCCTACTTGACCCCTTATTTCAGGGATGCAGCAGGGGAGCTGACTGCAGTCACAGTAATTTACAACACACCCTCTGCCCGCCACCACCATAGGCACCTTGGAAATAATAAATAATTTGAATTCCCCTCTGCTTCTGAAAAGAAATAGACACAAATACATTCATGAATTGCAACGTTTCAATTATTGGCTGCACTCCTGTTTCCCCAAGGCAACAGTCATCAGGGTGCACATGGAGAACAAGAGTGCATATAAAGCCCATTACAGCTTTTAATTGTGCGACTTGAATAGCCATGTTGGGGTTTGTTTCAACCTTCTGGAAGCATCACAAAAGAATCCAGGGGGGGAAAAAAAACACCAGAAAGCTTCCAACTGTTATCAAACTTCTTTCAAGAGCTGTACTTTTAATATTAAGCCTAACAGGCTTGACTAGAGTTTGATTCTTAGAAAGTGAAAGGAGGACAGGGAAAGTGAAAATGGAAATATGACACAGACAGTTAATTTTGACTTCTCATTATGTGCATTATGGAGAAAATTGCAGTCTCTCTTCCTTTGAGCACAGAGATCCAGCTAGGTGGCGGTTTCTTCTTTCTATACTTCCGGGGCTCTTATCCAAATCATGCTCCCTACTTTCCAACCGACTGAGTAATCTCTGGACCAAATCCAGACAATGAAGCAACCCATAGTTTCACACAAATGGAAAAGTACCAAGTATTCTAATGGTGGGAAGGGAATGCTTTTCTGTATTTATTTGTTAGCTTTATATCCTGCTTTTCCTCCAGGAGTTGAAGGGGGGGGGGAAATAATACCCTTTCCAATCTTTGTATGCAAGCTTGACCAAACTCATCAGCAAGTCCATGTAACTCATTGGCACTGACTCTACTAGATGAGTGGAGTATATATAGTCTGTTGCCTGGCTGCCACATGGGTTGCTCCAAAATCTTACAAAGCTTTTTGTTCTGCAAGAAAAAGGAAGAGCAGCCACCGTTTCCCCATTGATCATTTTTCCAAAGTGTGTCTTTATATGAACAAATATTGAGTGAGTCACTATGTAAATAGGTTCACACATTGCTTTATGCCAAGGGTGCATTTCATTTGACTTTGGCTCAGTATACTGGCGAATCTAGCGATTGTGGTCTGTACAACGAAGTCTGGTTAAAACAAAGTACAGCTTAGTGCAACGGGTGAACCCAGCCACAAATTCTGTATTTTAATGGAAGGAGGACATCACACACACCTGATAATTCCTACCATGCTGTAGTCATTCCAAAATGCAAATCTAAAAACCCTGCTATCCTAGATTTTGCAAACATCATCAGTAACACTCAACAAATAGACATGGAGGCTAAGAGTCAAACAACATGGAAGGCTCTTGAATAATCAGTTTAGTCTACTTTTGTTATGGAAATGCCATATACAACCTTAATATAGTATCACTGTCTCACTCATGTGTAGAGAGAAAAAAGTGATTTCTCTGTTTCAAGGGATGAGTTTAACATTTCTCATGTGTATTTCTCTCCAGTCTTACCAAGGTCTTCTTCCCAAATATTTTTTTACAGCCTCTTCATTTTTTTCTCCTGTACTCCATTAGTACAAAGCATACATTGAACTAACACCTCCCCCTCCCACTTTTTTAAAAGATGCAAATCATTTTGGTGCCACCTCTTTTCATTTCAACAAGGCTGGCGGTTTGCTGGCTTTTCTGAACTCTTGTTGAAACCATATGCCACTCTTTGTGAATTTTTCTAATTCGGCAGGCAGTAGCAACTTATCCAGTACCCCAAATACCGATTTAGTATTCATGACGTACAGTGATAACTCATGATTGTAAAACGAAGGAAATTTTCTTATGAAGGTACAGGTGGTAAGAGTCCTATCTTAATGAACTTCTGATATGTAACTTATGTAGCCCTGATAGTGATTGATGGTGGGAACTGTAATATTTGTGGCATCTAAACAGCTGCAAGTTAGCAGTACTGAAATAGAACAATACCTTAATTGCACTTATAAAGAATGTCCTGACTACTGACAGCTTTTATTTAGTATTCTAAATTTAGGAGCCTAATTCAGTGCTTTCACATGTGTCACCCTGTCGTTTTCTTATCTCCCAGCCTGACAGAATCTAGGGGATGGGACTTTTTTTTACACAATTTATCCTCTTCAAAAAAAGAAATGTACAAACCCCACCTAGAAAATGCCCCCCCACCCCCAGAACATGCGTTCTTATCTGCAAGCTGCCATTTCTGGGTTTAATGAGGTGCCCTTCAACAATTTTCAAAACTTTTTATTCCCCAGAAAGTTTTTTTTTTCCAAGGCTCCTGATTATAACTTAAACCTCCATTGTTCTTGTTATTTCTTTTCTCTTTGGTTTGCATTGCAGGATATTTTTCATTGCCAAGAAAGAGTCAGATGTAATGCCCTTCTCTGCAACAGAAATGAGACCACTCTAGGAACTATAATAATGAGAGAGAGTTCTTGGGCCAAAAATCAGGAAGTACAGTATGGATATGGGGATAGACAGACATCTCTGTCAAGCAATTCTATAGCATAGGGGACCTATTGGTTAGCAAATGGGGACTGGAATGATACCAGCTTTTGATCAACTAGTTTATAAAGTGCCTGAAAATACTTAAACATCTGAAGGAGGATCATAATGCCGATTGAACAAAAACATTACACGCTATTGTTATTAGTACAATGAATATATGATTATTTGCTGTTGAGAATCATTAGGGTAACACTATGTGCAGATAAAACAAGAGAAGGTTATGGTAGAAAGTTTCTACCCAGGAACATGAAAAAATAAGACCTGTATCAGTTGAAATCATTTCTATTCACCGAAGGTCTTCATCTGTTTCTATATCCAAAAGTTTGGACTAAGAGATCATAATAACTGATCACTCAATAATCAAGTTACTGGCATATCTTCCACAATGCGTTGTTACCGAGCTTGGCAACACTCAAACGTTTTTTTACCCAGTCTCTTTTACATCTTAGCTTATCCGCTGACAAGGCTTAACAAGTTGATCAGCCTCCATTTGCCTCGTCATTCCCCCACGGCTGAACAGCAGCAGCAGTTCAGATGAAAATTACAAGCCAACAAAAGAAGACCAACATATGACAAGAGAGATAAATATACCGTGAAATCTCTCTCTGACCCATTCCAATTCTCCCCCCCCCACTTCTTTTCTTTTTTTAAAAAAAAGGAGGACTGGATCAATTGCTCTATGATAACTTAACTAGGCAAATGCAAGTTAGAAGCCAAAACATTTCCAACAACCTGTACAGAAACAACAAAATTTACAACTGAAAAATGTCACTAACACCCATTCAGGCAGATGTGTTAATTTTTGTTTGTTTCGCAAAGGACAGGTTATCAAAGAGAGAGCGGCGTGTGATCCTCCAGCCTGCCTTAGTTTTCTTAAGTAACCTTCTGCTTGATGCTGGGAGTTTCTGGTCGATAGTCCTTCCTCTCAGAGACATTACGCTTCACCTTGGCACTAACAGGAGACTCTTGATTTAATGAAGGGCTGGAGTGGCATTTCTTCAGTCCAGGACCATCAATCTCACTGCTACTCAGCAACTCCTTTCCTGCTCCATCTTTGAGAAGAGACACATAGATTTCATAACGGGTTTTCTGGAAAAAAAAGAAAAAAGAAAAGATTCAGTCTACCTTGTCACTTCTACAATCTGTGTGGATATCAGTCATGGCAAGTAAAACCAGCAGAACAATATTAGCTAGTGGGTGACAAAGGCACCCAGGAGTAACACTGAAATGTCTTGTAAACTGAAAACTGAAGGACATGTGTTTGGTTCTCTTTCTCAGGAGAAGCATTTGAACTTTTGAATGTTGTATTTTGAAAGGACATGCAAAGAATCTTGTCCAAAGAAGTGGATTTCAGAGTGTGCAGACTGTGGTGAAGTGGTTAGAATGCAGAATTGCAGGTTAATTCAGCTGTGCTGACTTCAATTTGGCAGTTCAATTCTCACCGGTTCAGGGTTGACTCAGCCTTATATCCTTCGAGGTCAGTAAAATGAGGACCTAGATTGTTGCGGGCAATATGCTGACTCTGTAAACTGCTTAGAAAGGGCTGTAAAGCATTGTAAAGCGGTATATAAGTCTAAGTGCTATTGCTGTCTTCAGTCTACCCACAAGACTTAGGCAAACTAAAGACGGTTAAGAAGGATGCTTATTGTTACCTCACCTTGTCCTTTCCTACACTTCCCCCTTTATCCCACCTTGATTTGGGGGGAAAGCATGCTTTCTTAAAACAATAGAATAACTCTCATTTTATGCCCAGCTGATCAATATGTAAAGTAGAAAATTCAGCAATGGCAAATGGATATACATTTACATATAAAATTCAGGACTTTAATTGTGGTGCCTAACAGCTTCTCATCTTTCCATGATTATGAATATAATAGTTCGATACTATGATGTCAAAATGATGATTATAGAATTGAACTTATGTTTTTCTCTATGCCATGTGTTCCAGTATGGTATGGATTTTCTAATTATTTATAAAACATACTGTTGCTGGTCTTCAGCTAGGCAGACCGCTGCATTTTAATGTTTCACTTTACTGCCACAAATTTCTGAGCCCACCAGGCATCAAATACAAAGTGTAAAGGAAGATTTAACATATTTTTGAAAATGCCAACTGCTGAATTTGTTCACTCTCTAGAAAATCACAACTTCTCTGTATGAGGCAGTTTCATCTGCAACATCACTCAGTGGTGCTGTGATTAACTCAAATATACTAGTGGCAGGGGTGAAATTCAGCAGGTTCTGACAGGTTCTGGAGAACCAGTAGCGGATATTTTGAGTAGTTCGAAGAACCGGCAAATACCACTTCTGACTGGCCACAGAGTGGGGTGGGAATGGAGATTTTGCAATATCATTCCCCCATGAGTGGAGAGGGAATGACCATTGGCTTACCTGAAGGGTCCTTTTCTGGGCGCTGCAACGGAGAGTCCAAGCATGGGTTAAATGCAGCCAATCTGCCCAGGACTGAATTGAAACTTTAAGCCATACCTCTGGTGCTGACTAATCCTCAGATTTTCTTCAATGAAGGCGTGGACAATGCGCACTGAGAAGTTCAGGCACCAAGTCAATGAAGATCATAAAAAATATCCACAAGTCCAGAAGAAATTATATGACAAATGGCGGAGCAGACCCCAGGGTGGGGTTGGAGTCTTCTTCGCAGCGCCCAGAAAAGGACCCTTCAGGTAAGCCAATGGTCATTTTCCTGGGTGCTGCTCTGAAGAGTCCAAGCATGGGACATACCCAAGCTAAATGCCACTAGGGTGGGAAGTAGGTCTCCTCGCTGGTATGAATGCCCTGGAGAACTCGCCTCCCAAATGCCTCCTCCGCAGAAGCAAATTTGTCCAGTCTGTAATTTCGAACAAAGGGAGACAAAGAAGTCCACATGGCAGCTTTGCAAATCTCCTCTATCGGTGCCTGGATAGCCCAGGCCGCCGTGGTGGCGGCGCTTCAGGTAGAATGTGCAGTGATAAGGCGTGGCACCGGAATAGATTGAAGAACGTGGGCTGAGCAAATACAAGCCCGCAGCCAACATCCAATAGTCTGAGAAGAAATTTTGTGGCCCTGGGATGCAGGTTGAAATGAGACAAAAAGTGATTCAGACCAAGGCATCTGTACGTTTGATGTACTTACTTAGCGCTTTACGAACATTGAACATATGCCACTTTTTCTCTTTGGGATGTTTGGGGTGCGGACAAAAATCTGGAAGTATGACCTTGTGGGCCCCGTGAAACCAAGAGTTGATCTTGGGTATAAATGCCGGGTCCAAACGGAGGATTACTCTGTCAGGTTGTATCAACAAAAGTCCTCGAGAATTGACAGTGCTGCCAATTCAGAAATTCGCTGTGCAGACATGATGGCAATTAAAAAGGCTGTCTTAAATGTCAGATGTTTGAGGCTGGACGATTGGAGAGGTTCAAAGGGCGGGCCAATGAGAGCCCGTGACACCACCTTGAGATCCCATGAGGGGTGCCTGTGAACGACCAGAGGCCTCAGGTTGGTTGCACCCTGTAGAAAACTACGGACAATGGGATGATGATCAAGGGAGGAGTGCTCGTCTACTGTCAAAATTGTGGACAAGGCCGCCACCTGTCATCTGAGAGTGTTAGGGACCAGGCCTTCATTTACATTTCATTTCATTTCATTTATTGAATTTCTATGCCGCCCAATCCTGAGGGACTTTGGGCGGCTTACAGAAATGAAAAAAATTAAAAAGAATTTTTAAAAACAATGGGACACAACAAAGTTAAAAAGGAACACAACAAACACCCAATCGAAAGGGGGCTGGACC